TTCCGCTTTTAGCGAATAAACATGTAAATATTGGGGGGAACGGAGGGAAGGGGAACACAAGCAAATCCTCCAACTAAAACAATGCTAGTTAACTTTCATACCTGCTGTCTATATACTTTTTGCCAAGCAACTCAACCTACTCTCTCTCTACCTCTTAAACTAAAGTGATAGATGGAGACAATATAATAAATGGGCAGATAAATGAAGTTGAGCCAGAAGTGATTCTCAATTCTTGGGACCTGAGATGCACTTCTAATGGTAGCGAATTCTAGAGCTGCAGTAATCTATTTTTTAAATAGTCACTCTCAACCTTAACTATTGCGGAGCTGCCGCTTAATGTTTGGAAAATGACGCCCATGATGATTATTATGGAAGAGGCTGGTCTGTTCAGTTTCTTGTTTTCCATCAATACTAAATATGGAGCCTATTTATACACAAACTCAAGAGCCAGTGGCCACTTTACCCATGAGGGGGGAGGAAATCTCTGAGGATTCTCTTTGCTGGGCTTTCTCCCCTACTGTTCTACTGAGAAAGATGGTGTATGATGGGGCTGGCAGCCACAATCTGATTAAGAAAACTGCAGGCTGTTTGAATTAACAAACAATAGGTCTGACTCTCCACTAACTTACACCAATGTAAACTGAAAGTAACTCCGTTGATTTCAATGACGTTACAGTCGTGTAAAATTATTGAGGGGAGAATTAGGCCCTATATATGTAGTGGGTGGTACTCTTTTATTACACTACAAATAATGCTGTACTATGCCAAATCAAGGGGAAATGGTGTTGGCCTGGTATTTCTAAATCAATTCTGGACATTATCCCTCTCCACTGATTTTATGACAGTTTTGCAGTTGATTTCATGAAACAGGAAACATGAGCGCGTTCTCTTCATATGATTTTCTGGTGCACAGTGACACCTATAGAAAGTAAGTTATAGCACATAGAAATATGGTTTTCATATCCAACATTACTTTTTGGCTTTAGGTAGTTACAGTTCTTTTGGAGTATGCTTTTGTGTTTTTTTTCCTTCAGTAAATATTTGTAATTGCATTTAATATAAAGCCTTGCAAAATTATCATGAACATATTCCAACCCAGATACAAAAACAACTATCACACCCTGATAAAGAGAACAGTAACAATTCTTTTAAAATGTATAGTTTTTTACTCCCCATCCAAAGAAAATTGCCCATCCTGAGTGGGTGGCTGGGTGGGTAAACAGAAATTTGCAAGGCTTCAATGTTGGGTGGGTATCTATATGTAGCTATTAGCTGAGGCTTTCTTTTTGATTTAACAGTACTGTTTATGCTGGCCTTGCCCTTCAGATCACTTTAACTATTATCAGATGTCTTTCATTAGTAACATAGTCGTTTAAAATAAAATGGAGATGCATAAAATGTATTGTAATGAGATGCAAACTTCAGTAACTTTAAGGAATGATATAAATATGTGCATCCAGTACTGCTTTCAGGGATATTTACTGTCATGATATTAGGTAAGAACTTTATAATACTGTGGGTGTCCTGCATGATGGTGGTGGTTCTACCAGAGTATATAATTTTGTTGTTTTAAAGAGTATTTTTTTCTAAATAGCCTGATCCTATAATGTGATTTCACTGGAATTGAGCTTGATGTACTCTAATGTATGTTAGAGTAGAATCAGGCCCAGGGGAGGTTAAGAGAAATAAGTATTCTTAGGCTGTATCCTACAAAGGCATATGTTTAACTGGATGCATTGTGCATAGTCCCATTGACTTTATGGGGACTGCTTGTTGTGTAAAGTTAAATGTGTGTCTTTGCAGGATTGGAGCCTTGGGCTGCTGTGTCTCCTAACTTGTGTTAATGAAACAGCCTCCTTTGGTGACTACTTTTTTTTAAAGTGGGTTTAGGAGGAAAAGTAAAAATTCCACTCCAAATGTGAGAACAGGAGAAAGATCTTGTTTGGGTTTTTTTGTTTATGAAATCTGTCTCCAAGAAAGTAATTTATTAAATATGGAGAAGGCAGTAGACCCATGCGCAGGCTCTGAACTTAAAAAGAAAGTGCACTTTTCTGGCATTAATTTTAGTGAGGACTCTTCTTCATGCTTTGTGCTTAAAGATCTAGTTTTCTTTGGGGCATTTTTTTAAAAATGCAGTTGAGACAGTTTTCCATTTTCTTAAGATATTCGTGTTTTTTTCTATGTTGTGTTGTGAAGTAATCGCCCGGTACTAAATGTATTATAATTGAGGTTAGAAAAATTATTTGATTAATGTGCATAAATACAAATCCAATGTCTGATTTTTATCCGGCCCTGTCTACACAGTCAATTTGGTGGTAATAACAGTCAATTTGGTGTTCAATAGATCTGAGGTTGTACAGTGTGAGTGATGCAACCTGACATGCCGTGGTAGAATAGCACAACAGAATGACACCTGGAAAATTGCAAACTAATTAGCAATCACAAAAGTGTTTAAATTTTATTTTTAAAGCACATGCAAGTGGTGCCCTTTGGCACCCATGTCTGAAAATTTTCCTCGACATTTTTGGCAAAAATGTTGCTTGCTGACATTATTGGTTACTTTGTATTTGACTCTGCCTTTGAGTGAGAAAGAAAATAAACTAATGATACTTCATTGGAGCAGAAGGACATATTTATGCAGTAAAATTTTGATAATATATGTAAAATCTTTGCCAAAATGTTTAAAACCCTTAGGAGGAATAAATGAATGAAACAACTGCCTCCATAAAAACATAAACAAACAATAAAAGATGTTGTAAACAGTGGGTACTAACAGGAAAAATAAGGATTGCTATTTACCAGTATCTTATTCATGTCTGTTAAACTGCAATAAAAGACAAAAGTACATTATAGTGCTGTTTTGGAACATGCACATTCTTTGTGAAGAGACAGCATAACTTAGATGCAAAGCTCCAGTGGATTTACTAGTAGAAATCTTAAAGCTTTTAACATTCTTCCCCTTTTGGAGAGTTACCTCATATTATCCTCTGGATTTACTTTTTTATTGTTTAGGTTCACTAAATGGGGGCTGAAGGTTAGAAAAAAATGTAAAATGAAGTTTGTGCATAAGAAACCATCACTGATAATTGAAGAGAACACTGTTTCATTTATTTACTGGCTTCCAATATGCCTTTGCAAACCCATGAAATATAATTGCAGGAATCCTTCAATTACTGCACAACTGTTACTGAGGGAGACATCTGGAAAGTGTCTCTCATTAATTCTGATTTTGACAGAGGCAGTAATCAAGTCTGCTCAATGTAATGAAACTGACCAGCGTCTGTGATACTACATTTGTTTGTGGCTTGTATTTTCCTTCACTGAATATTAACATTGTTTCTAAATCTTGCACTCTAGCAAGTGACCCTGACATTCTGTAAGTTTTGACATGCTCTGTACAAAAGATACTACATCAGCAGAGATAGGTGTAGGAGAAAATATCCTTGGGCTGAAAGCCATATATGTTAGATGTGAAGCAGATTGATTCCAGAAGAGCAGAATGTCTTTGCAGTTCCCTGGGAGTTGTGGAACTGCTTTGGTTGGGGAAGGAAAGCCTGGAGCACTAATGTAAATAAACTTCCCCCATCCTCATAATTATCTATACTCTACCTGTACCCATGCGTAACCTGCAGCACTTTCTACAACCTCAGGATTGGATTAATTCCCATCATGGGCCCTTTGTCTCCCAAGATCCAATCATCCAAAGCATTGTAATTTAATTATAATGACTTTAATTAAATCAGAAGGACAAGGAACATGGAAATGACATACCAGCAAAATAATCAAGTTAGCACAGTCCTTGTTTAAAAGCTACATCCTGAAGAATTGAATTATCAGAGAAAGCACTATTCTCTCACCCCTAGGGTGAGCACAACTCAGGGTTGAAGCACATTGGCAGAGAATGGTGAGGAAGCTTGCACTGATGCAACCTCCTGCTGTACCTCTGTGGGCAAATGGAGGACATGTATATCATCAGAGCTGGCAATTCAGTAAACCTCACAAATACTAAATTAACTTATTTTGAAAAATATGTTGGATCCTTGTACTCGGAGTTCTCTTATAACTTCTGGAAATCCTGCTGTCTCTTTTAAGCAGGTTATTAAAGATAGTGGTTTGGACAAACAAATTTGAGAATGAAATCCATCCTGCCAACTGAAACACACACAAGGAACGTGACACATGTTAATTTAGACCTCATCATTTTGTATGTATAGCTGAGATTGTTTTTTCCAGTGTGCATTACTTTGCATTTATCAACACTGAATTTCATCTGCCATTTTGTTGTTGCTGAACTATTGTAAATTAAGGGTATGATTCAGGAGAAGCACTTAAGCACATGCTTAAGTCCCATTGAAGTTCAAAAGGACATCGGTATGCGTAAGAGAGATGCTTGAATAGAGAAGCTTTTCTTATTCAGGTTCTGTATGAATCTCATTTTTAAAAGTCTCATTTGTGCATGTAATTGTGGCTGCTGTTTGCAGAGAATAACTGATAGTGCATGAAAATGCTGATATAGGTTTCTAAGAGCCAAATTTTGCCTGCCTTATTCATACTGAATAATCCCTTATTATGCAATTAGTCACACTGATTATGCTTAGTAAGACACTATTTGTTGTGAATAAGGATGGCAAAATTGGGCCCTAAATGGGGGTAACTGTAGTGCAGGCCAGTTCTCTCCCCTTTTAACTGAATTTGGAAGGGTTCATGCAGCTCTAATGAGAAGACACTTACCACAACTATTGTAATAGAACACTTCAGCAAGAAGAAAACTAGCCTCTTCTGTAGCTTGCCCTGAATGCCCAGCCCTCTGAGGAGTGCATGAGGCCCTGCTCTTATCAAAATTTAAGGTTTCAGAATTTGGGTGAATCCTGGATAGAGATTAGCTGATCAAGAAGCAATAATTAACAAGAGAGTTCAGATGCATCAGTATATTTCCAGACTGTTTTTAGGTTTAGTATTTTAGTGATGCTTTTCATGACTCTATTTTCCATTCTGTGTAGACACCTCTTTATGTTGTTAACCATGGGGAGACTGGGCCAATTCGATGCAACAGATGCAAAGCCTATATGTGTCCCTTCATGCAGTTCATTGAAGGGGGAAGAAAGTATCAATGTGGATTTTGCAACTGCATAAATGACGGTAAGTGACATTTATCTACTATTTGTGTATATTCATTCATTCATTAATGCTAACCGGAAACTGCATCTGTAGTATTATTTTCTTGATTTACTTACTTGGAGTCAAATCCTGGCCCCATCAAAGTGAATGGGACTTTTTACCATGCATCTCTATGGGACAGTCAGTACTTCATCTATGGAGTCTTTTTGGCATGTTATTCTCTATGATCCAAATTCTCCATTCCTAGTCAGCCTGAATAACTTATTTAACTTTTGAAAACATTTATCGGTCAGATTCTCAGCTTTTGCAAATCAGCTTGGTTCTGTTGAAATCGGGGAAGCTGCTCTGATTTTCATGGAGGATCGAGCCTTTGCATCTTGTATCAATAGAAAAGATTTCAGGAAATATAATTGAACAAGTTTGAAGAAATAGCAGTACTTGAATATGCAACATTACAAAAAATAAAGTTCAGTCGAGTTCTTCTGGTGACACCTTCACTCTTCTGTTTCCTTTTATGGAGGTGAAAATATGGAATTGGATTTCTTCACTATCACTTTAAACTGAGAATAACAGCTCTTTAACTGGTGCTGGGGAGACAGAACATTGCAACAATTAAACCGCACTTTCTTTGATGATGTGGCCGTGAATGGATACAAATACTAGACCCAGTTATTCTTTCTGTTATGGCCCTTTTGCTCCACTCCACAAAGGCACTGTAAACTTAGTAAAGCCAGCAGTTATGGAATTCATCCAGTTTAGGCTGAATCTCAAAACGACTTAGGCAGAGTAATGGGGGCATTTCCAGTGAAAAGTGCTTCTGCTCCTTAGTGGTTCTCCTGCTGCAGAGCAGCTGGGCACAAATTTGGCCCCTGTGGCTGCTCTAAACAGTCCTCAGACAGTCCCAGAATAAGGACAGCATAATCATGGTGTAAAGCCACTTTTGCTTTCAGCACCGCTCTGTTATTTTCTATATATTCCTTTACCATGCAGCCGGAACAGAGAATTGGGGCCCTACGTTTGATGTGCAATGCAACCACAACTGGAAGATGATTTCTTGACAACATCCTGTCATATGATGGGCCTTCAGCTAGTTGTTCTGCGTATGAAAATTATTAGTCAGATGTGCCCAGTAAGATTCCATATGAATTATTTTTTAAATAGTTTACTAAGAAAATATGCAGAAACTCTTTGGTCAAATCCACTTTTAAAAAGAAATGTTCTGTAACAAAATATAGCCATGCAAAACAATGAAATCCTGTCTGTAACTTCATCAAAAGTTTTCTTTTTTAAATGCTTTGTCAACACAGGATATGTTTTTGCTCTATTCCAAACTGCCAGCTAGTATTTCAAATGAAAATAAATGTATTTAAAAATGCTTAAGTGCCTGGCAAAGAACAAATATTTAGAACAACGTAAGAGTAGTCATGTCTGTGACCATGCATTTAATAGTTAAATCACCTATTAATCTTACTGTGACAAGGCTTGGTTTTCACAGAAGATACCATGCCATATTTGTTCAAGTGTGCTGCATGTGACTCATAAGTAAGCGTTCTTTTGCTTTTGGCTGGATCCCAAATCTTTGCCAGAACTAGTCTTTCTAGACATTTGTATCAAGTTGGATTTCCTCAGCAGGATCACAGTGGTATAGTGCTTTCCCTAATACAGTAATCTTTTCAGCTCTGAAACATGAACCTTGAAAGATTCATGCCAACTCCTTTTTGGCTTGAAGCTCAATCTTTTGGGCAAAGTATAGCAGATAGCAAGTTGTATTGTTTGTTCAATTTAAATTCTCATAAACACATACTGCGTGCATTATAAACAGTGTAAATATCGTCATGTATTCATTAGAATATCAGTTTAAAGCATACTTTGTACTTCTATGGTGCCTTTCATCCAAGAGTCTTAAAGTGCTTTACAACCTTTAATTGAGCCTCAAAACTCCCCCGCAAGGTAGGTAAGCATTATCCCCATTTTACAGGTGGGGAAAACTGAGATGTAAAAAGCTTAAGTGAAGGTATCCGAGAACTAACTGGCGAAGGGTTGCTGCCTTCTCTTGCTCTAAAAATTAGAGAAGAAATGTTATTGCCATCCTCCAGTTCAGATGCAACTATTTAATTTTCTTAGGACTCATTTCCTAAGGTTGTCAAGAATCCTGCAGTGTAATCTGTGATTCACTTTTAGTTGTGAAGTCCCGCACCTCTCCTCTATGATTGCGGAATGCTCCCGACACAGTGGAACAGAACAGAAGGCCAGGATTTGTAAACCCTGTTAGAGCAACCTTCTGTGCAGCAGGATTTGTGGGTGGAGTGGGGCTGGCTGGTGGAGAGGTGGGGCTGATGACTCTGACTCTGCAGATCCATCGGCATCTCTCACTGGAACTATGACAGCTTCAGTTTTGCAGTAGCAAGCCTGGAGTAGTCCTTCTGTCCTTGCATCCTTGGAAAGGCAGATTCTTCTCCCCAGCCTGTACCATCCACAGCTACTCAAGCTTGTGCAGGATGAGTGTGGAAGATTCAAGTGTTCACGAGGGAAAACACCCAGTCTTTCAAACACAGTAGGAGCACGCATGTGACAATAAGCACAAAATAACTTTTTTCTTTTTAAAACTGTGCAGTTTCTGCATAAAATTAGTTTCCCAGCTAAGCATTTGCATTCCTTCCTCAAGTGGTGAAATGGGAGACCGCATTTGTTCTGTTGTGTTTATTAAAAGAAGAAAAATTAGTTTTACTGTTTTTCTTTAGTCCCTCCATTCTTCTTTCAACATCTGGATCACATTGGCAGAAGAACAGACCACTATGAGAGGCCAGAGTTATCTCTAGGATCATATGAATATGTTGCTACATTGGATTATTGCAGAGTAAGTATTTCCAGCATGGAAATCTGTTTACAAATGTAGGTAAAACAAACTGAATCTTTTAAATACCTAAAGCAGAATAAAGCTTTTTCTACTTCACACCAGAAGTTCAGAAGTCTATGAACATTTTTAAAATTGAAGCATGGAATAATATACCAAAACTAACCTCCTCCTCCCCATCCACCCCCACATAAACACTGTTGCTCGTGGTTTCTGTTATAACAATTGTTGAATTATATCATTGTCAAATAAGAATTACAAGGCATTGCAGCAAAGGTGGTGGATCCACTAAGTTTCAGCTGGGGCCTTGATTTGGTCCTAACTATATGGCATTGTTCTAGAGGCTACAGTTGAGATTTTCAAAGCAGTGTCACATGTTAGTCACATGTCTTCTATTAATTTTAAAGGCAGATGTGTGGCTAAATCTCATTCTCTGCTTTGAAAATCTCAGCCTAAGAATTTGACCTGAAACTTTTCATTTCTGGGAAAACTGGTGTGTTTGACCACTATGTTAGCTGTGGAAGTATGGTTTGGTCTTCATATTATGAACTCACTGAGGGCCTCATCCAAAGCCCATTGAAATGAATGAAAGTCTTTCCCTTGATTCTGGTGTACTTTGGGTAAGGCCCTTAAACTAGTTGGGGAGTGGAGGAATTAAGAGGATTCCCAATAGAGCTTGAACAGTTCAGCATGGTTAATTGTTAAAATAAATCATAATGGTTGTGGGTGGCTGAGAAATCTGAGCTTTGGGTTTGAAACAGACTACTTGGAGTCCCAATTTCATAACCCAGCAGGGTCACATAAACCCTTTACATCTCTGTGGTTGATAAACTGAGTTTTCTCTGTTCTTTGTAGATGTGAATGATCCCCTGGTACTTTTGGTAAAAGTAACAGTTCGCCTAATGTTCTTGGCTAAACATACACTTCTCATCCCCACTTGTGTGCACACAGGTTGCTGTGCGCAGCATATCTGCTTGGCTCCAGAAGTGGCTTGAAATTGTGAACCTGTCCTTAACAGGAGTTCATTTTTTAAAATAATTGCAGACACGTCTTGTGCTTATCTTCAGAAACAGTTTAACTCAGTCAGATGTCTAAGCACATTGTTCTTAGAGCTCAGACATCTAAACACCTTAAATGGAGGAAAAGATTTTAAAATCCAGCCCTTTGTTAATTTACACCATGTACAGCATTTGTGTGCAACCTTTTAGATTTTTCTGTCTTCTTCTGTGGGGAGGTCAGTAATAGCTGATAAACTCCTTATCCATGTTAGAAATGTGGCCAAAAACTAACGTAAGCTTAATCCAGAAAAGTGTTGGTAAAAATAAAGTGTAGGTACATGTTAAGTCTGTTGTAAAATCAAGACACATTAAAAATGCTCCCCCGACTCCCAGTGAGACTGATAAAGTAAATAGCTTTCTCAAATTAACATTAAGTAGCAGACCACATCTCTGAAGATAGATTGGGCTAGTATTTGATCATGGTTCCTGTTAATAGTAAACTGGTGACAATTAGTGACTGAGCAGTGATGGAGTGTTTCCACTCACAGAAAACACGTGTGGTTATTTATATTAGCTTACATAAAGAATTATTTTCCTACGGGCCCTAATCCTGCAAGGAGAAGTGTGTGGTTGGATCCCTATGTCCACAAGGAGCCGTATGGGATTCAGGAGGGCTCAGTGCAGGTGGAGGGATCTGTCTTGGTGGTTCTAGGGCACAATCAAGGCCTGAAAGGACAAAAAATGGTTTATCGTTTTGGTTATGTCCTAGATTTTTTCGAACACACGTGCCACGCACATAAAATAATTTGAGAGAACTTGCTGGTATTTTCCCAAGTATGAAGTATTTAAATTCTTATTTGAACATGCCTTTGCTAGCTTTTAGCTTAATTCACAGTATGTCAAGTGTGATGATCTCCGTCCATGATGGAGCTCTAAGACATCCACATTCAGTTCTCATTGTAGACCAACAAAACTCCTATTAGCTTCAATGGAGGGAGGATCAAAGTAATGATAAGCTTAAGAATTCAGTCGGAGCCTGCATAGTCTTGAATGCCCTTAACGTCCGTTGAAGTCAGGGATTTGGCTTCAGAACATCAACTTATTGCTAAAATTTTAGTCAGCATGTGTTTTTGTTGTTAGTAAACTTGAGGAACTCAGCAAGCTGATTAGCTGACCTCATAGTTCACTGGAGGCCTGATCCAAAGATCACTGAAATGATTGGGAACCGTTTCATTTACTTCACTGGGATCTGGATCAGGACTCAGATCTGAAATGAGCTCAAGTAGGAATGAATATATATATATTCATTCCATTTACTGTAGCTGAGGTTCCTGCACAATATAGGGAGGGGGAGGAATAGGAATATAATGCAGGAACCTTAGCTACAGTAAATGGATGTCTCTCCATCAGTGTCAGTAGAGCTGTGGTCATTTATGGCAGCTGAAGAGCTGCCCCATAACTTTTGAAAATTAATTTGTCTATTGGGTGTGTCCACTAAAATATCTTCAAGATACTTTTTGTTTGTTCTAGAACAGTGTTTCCCAAACTTGGGATGCCGCTTGTTCAGGGAAAGTCCCTGGCGGGCCCGGTCCATTTGTTTATCCGCTGCGTCCTCAGGTTTGGCCGATTGCAGCTCTCACTGGCCGCAGTTCGCTGTGCCCGGCCAACAGAGGCTGCGGGAAGCAGCATGGGCCGAGGGACGTACCAGCCACCGCTTCCCGCAGCTCTCATTGGTCTGGAGCGACGAACCGTGGCCAGTGGGAGCCGCGATCGGCCGAACCTGCGGATGCGGCAGGTAAACAAACTGGCCCGGCCCGCCTGGGGCTTTCCCTGCACAAGTGGCATCCCAAGTTTGGGAAACACTGTTCTAGAATATGATTCTTTTTGATGCTTGCATCTTCAGGTAATAGTTTTATATCCAAAGCTCTTGACACAAAGCTTAATTCATTCAGGAGTTCTGAGAAGTAGCTTTTTGTCAAGGAGCATGCTATTATAATCTTCTTGTTACAAAAGTGCACGTTGGTGTGGATTTGTTTCAAGATTTTTTTTTTAAAAAATAAATCCATTAGAAATATAAGCCTCTTTGGAAGTGTTAAGCTATTGCCCGTTGGGAATCTGACAGAGTTATTTGATATTTTTTTTCCTTTGGTCTGAGTCAGTAAAGTTTGTTTCTTTTCTAAATCTCAGACCAAAACTGAAGGATCACTTCCTTTGTGCTTATCAAACGATGAGGATGAACAGCTACAGAAAATGTTAACAAATAACAGCTGTTTTGTATTATTGCTCTTCTGTTAGGCGGATGTGGCAAAAGCACAACATCTCATTTCTGTCCTATATCTGTCAGAAATTAGCCAAGATCTTTTTATAAACTGCTGTGGGATTTACAAAAGTATATTTGATTTTTTTTAAATAGGGTCCAAATACTGAAATAAAAACAGCTTGTATAAACATGGCCTGATTTTCCTCCCAGATCAGTAGAACTCCTGCCTTACAGTGGTGTAACTGAAGGGAGAATGAGGGCCATAATTTTAAGTTGAGGGTAAATGTATGGGGGATGGGAATGTTATAATTGAGGGGATAGGTAATGAGAAAGTGGAGTTTCATTTATAGGGTTGTGTTTCAAATACGACTCAATAAGTGACTGGAACTATTTATCTGATGGCTGTGGAACAGCATACATGATTGGCTTTGGACCATTTCCTAGTGGATGGGTGTCCACCACATAAAAACAAGCAAGCAAGCAAGCAAAAACACCATTGCACGAGACCTTAAATAACAATCATTGCTAGTTTTAGTAGGGAAGCTAAAGACTGAATAGTCATGGAAACTGAACTGCTGTCACCCCTAGCAGTGCCTTTAGAACAAAGCCAAGGAACATTTTGTGAAACATTTTAGGCCAGGTCTGTACTACAGAGGTTTGTTGCTTTGTTTGTAGCTATCTTAGTGGTGTGAAAAAACCATACCCCCAGCCAACATAGTTATGCTGGCGAAGCCCCTGTGTAGACACAATTATTCTGGCAGAAGAGTGCTTCTATCAGCTTAGCTAATTTGTTTGGGGAAGTGGTTTAGCTACTCTGATAAGAGCAACTTCTCCTGTTGGCATACGCTGTGTCTACATTAGGGAGCTCTGCTAGTACAACTGAACCAGCAATAGCATTTCTAGTGTAGGTAAAGGGTTAGAGAAGATTGCATCGCTGCTGCCCATGCCGTATTTGATTTCTGTTGTGAATAAAGGACTTCAGTGTCTGGGTTGCATTAAACACACTTAAAACCAACTTCACCAAACAAGGACATTCCACCAGAGAAGTAGGTTGCATCATGGATCTGGCCACCCAAATACCCCAAGAACCTCCTTCAATCTGGCAATAAAACTCCCTCTGACTGTGCACCCTTAGTTGTTACTTACCCTGTATATTTTGCAGTGTGGAGTGGTATCATTAAACAGTGACAACCCATACTCAATGGCGGCAACCACATTCTTAAAGAAATCTTTCTTGAACTCCTTCTTCTGGCCTTCAAACAGGCCCCCAGCCTCTCCAAGCTCATCATCAGAAGCAAGCTCCTCACAGACCAGGACACACCTGCACTCAAAGCTGCAGCAGACCCTGCCAGAACAACAGATACGAAACCTGCAGACATTTCTTCACTGCTACAATGATCAACAACCCTCCTCTCTGCAAAGACACACCTTTTATGGTTCCTAAGCATGCTTAGCGCAACATGTGGTATCCCCACCAAAGGCCCTAGTACAACAAATGGGTGAAACCAGTCAATCACTATGCTCTTGAATGAACTCTTTCACAGAAAAATAAGACAAACACTTTTCACAAAACAATCACTCCATACCTGACCTCACAGTCTTCATCCTCAAAAGGAAACCTGCACAACACTTTCAAAAGATGAGCCTGGGAGCTTAAATTCATAACTTTGCTAGACATTAAAAATCATGGACTGACTAGAGACACTCGATTTACGGCTTATGAGAACAGTTTATAACCCACTAACAAACCTGCACCCCTCCCTGGCTGCCATTTTATTTTTCCCTTCCTTTCCCTGTGACTGAAGCGGTGTTAATGGGCCACTTCACTTTACATGGTTCCTTGAAATACATGTTAACTACTTATGCTAAACAATCTGTTCCACTCTGAGGGCTAGTCTACACTGGCGGTGCTAAAGCGCTGCCATGGCAGCGCTTTAACATGCCTTGTGTGGTTGCGGTGCAAAAAAATACCTCCACGGGGGGGTGAAGCTCCCAGCAGTGGGGCACTGTCTACACTGGCACTTTACAGCACTGAAACTTGCAGCGCTCAGGGGAGTGTTTTTTCACACCCCGAGAGAGAAAGTTGCAGCGCTGTAAATTGGCAGTGTAGACAAGCCCTGAATCTGAGTATGTTTCCCAGACCTGAAGAAAAGCTCTGTGTAAGCTTGAAAGCTTGTCTCTCTCACCATCAGAAGTTGGCTCAATAAAAGAGATTACCTCACCCACTTTTTAACAACTTTATAAATAAATGTTATATATAGAAACTTGGTGTAGCTTAGTACAGTATGCTCATCATTTTTACGTTACCTGCAGTACGAACAAGAAATAACATGTAAGAAGTTTTATCCAGAAGAATCAATACCAACCCAATATGTTGCTGGGTGCCTAGCTCTTGTTTACATATAAATGATATGAGCTCATGCTTTATTTATCTTGTATAAAATCAGCTTTTTCTCAAAGTACAGGGGGCCTTTCAGTGGTTCTAAATTCAGCTGTTGTCAAGATTTGCTGGAGCACAAAGCATGCTTATTCACAGCCAGTCAAAGTGCAGGAGTTGCACTTCTGAGGAGAAAACGTCTCCCAGGCTGCAAAAAGAAAAAGATATTATATGTTGTTAAAAAGAATATTGTAGACAGAAAAGTTTGGTATCATTTGTAATGCTTCTGGTGAAAGTTTTTTATCAGGCCTGGTCTTGGCCCTGAAAATGTTGAAGAGCATGCATGTCAGAATAAAAAGCACTTAACACAGCAGGGATCCTGAGGAGACTTGAATAAAGACAGTTAAGAAAGTTGATCTATCATGAAAACATTAATATAAAGTACATGTAGAGTACAAAGAAAACACACACAATTCCTATCAACAACAGGACTCTGAATAGGCATAGGTTTCAGAGTAACAGCCGTGTTAGTCTGTATTCGCAAAAAGAAAAGGAGTACTTGTGGCACCTTAGAGACTAACCAATTTATTTGAGCATGAGCTTTCGTGAGCTACAGCTCACTTCATAGGCATAAAGGCCAGTCCTAGCTAATCTCAGCGCAGGATCAGATCCTAAAGTGACTGAGTTGTTTTGTTTAATTCCGATTGGTCTCCTATAGCTTATCAGTGTTAATGCTGATGGAAATTGAATTGAAGAATTTATGCTAGTGAAATGCTATTATACAAATATACATGGAATGGAAAAATAAAAGATGTGCAAAGAGCCAAAGACCTGTTGTTTAAACATTTGAAAGTTTACAGAAAACTTCCTGTAATATTTGTCCACTTCCAATAAACACCTTCACATTGATGTTTTAGACTAGTAGGAAACCATTATCCTGTAATAATGGTTTATTCCAGAGATGGTGCTTTTTAAAGATTAGATCATCATTTTAATTATTTATTTATTTATTTAGTATAGGTGTCAACCATCAAATAATTATTTGGATTGCCTGATTGAGCTGTCTGTAGATTTTGTTGGACTTAATGTGTCACTCTTTCTAGTTTTGCTTTGTGGATGTGGATGATGATTGTTTGTCTTTTCTGTAGAACAACAAGCCTCCAAACTCACCAGCCTATATCTTCATGATCGACGTGTCCTATAGTAACATTAAGAGTGGCCTTGTTAAACTCATATGTAATGAGCTGAAGACTGTGCTGGATAAACTTCCAAGGTAAAGAGATCACAGTGTGTTTTGTATAATTTTCCTCATCTCAGCAACTCACTTGCTGAACAGAGAAAACAAAAAAAGCTTCAGAAAATATCAAAATTATGATAAGTTTTAGGACAATAATTGGCAGATCACACTAGACTACATATTTAACATTGTTGACAGTTCTAAAATAGTTTGACTGGCATCGAGGCTTGCTTAACTCATTAAGGGTAAAGAGCAGTTATGCAAGTTAAAGATTTGGTTGGTTTTTATGGTTTTAGAAACTTGAATAAAGACAGTTAAGAAAAATGATCTATCATGAAAACATTAATATAAAGTACATGTAGAGTACAAAAAAACCCACACACGATTCCTATCGCCACCAGGACTCTGAACAGGTATAAAGGCCTGTCCTAGCTAATATCAGTACATGATCAGATCCTAAATACTGTAATTAGATTTTTTTTAAAAACACATTTTCGTCAAGAATTTTTTTTGTTGCTTTCATATAGTTTTTAATTCCTTTAAGGGAATTATTATTAAGATTATCCATATAAGGCAGTCTAACAAAATTTGCTGATTTTTTCCCCCCACATTTCAATGTATCTTTGCACTCAGCAGCCGTAGTTAAAAGCTTTTGCAGGAAGATGAGATGAAATTATAATAGATATCACCCCCCTCATTAAAATTATTGTTATTGTTATTATTTATTATTATATGCATTTCTGAGATGCTAAAGGAATTGCTCTTTGCCTTTATTGTAAGGAGAAGGGATTGCTGTTATCCTATGATGGCATGTGGATGGCCTAAGTGGGTCCAGCAGACAGGCAATTAGCTCCGTGCCCATGCCTCTGTCAACCGTATCCCATGGGGGCAAGGTTTATGGTAATAAGGAAGTATATCTGCTGAGGGCAATTGGAGCTAAGGGCTTATGCCAGGCAGTCCTAATGAAATGGCTCACTGATAGGCAGGAGAAAGGGCAAGTGAAGCGGGTAAGGAGTAAGCCCAGATCCTCAAAAGTATTTAAGCACCTAAATGCCTGGAAGGATCTGGGGCTAGGTTACCCCAGGAGTCTCAGAAAAGGCAACTCCCATACCAAGTTAAAAGGGATTAGAGTTTTCTATAGCCTTATCAGGACCTCTGTTTTTCCCCTACTTGCTTAAAACTGTTCAACTAAAACTAAAATGTTCCAATTTGGGTGCTTAAAACCAGTCCCTCAAAAGTATATTTTGGCACTGAAGTCTCTGGAACTTGTGGGTGCTCATCACCCTAAAAGTCAGACTCTGAATATTAGGAGTTAAACCCCTACCAGGCAGGCTCTAAAGAGAACTGTGATGTGTTTGAGCCATGTTAATTAACGCTGTCTGCTTCCACATCCATGACTAATCTTTAGAATTGTGAGAGAGGAAACTGCAAAATTCACTATTGAGGTGATATGTGAAGAGTATCCTCTTATAGAATTGCCTAGATGCATGTTGCTTAAGGGTGTTTTGGTTAACTAGCTAATGTGTGCATCTCTTTTCCACACAGTGAAGGAATATATAAGTGGAGACTATTACTAATCCCTTGGCCTTGTCAAGATACTAAATGTTGGAATAGCCTTCTTGGTGGTTACCTCAGTAACTGTGTCTGAGTGGCAGGGTAGAATTAGAACCTTCCCTTCGGAAATGATTCATCTGTCTAGGTGCAGTTTGCGAAGTTATTTCAAATAAGTCATAATGTAGCCCAGGAAGTATAGACCATTGATTCATTTTTGATCAAAATAATCCTTTTATGATCCAGCTGTGTTTCCATGAGCCAAGAATGGCAGATTAACATTCTACACCAACATGAGAATTACAGATTGGAGAAAGGAAAAATGAGTATTTTTACATTTTAAATTGACTTTGTGAATCGCCATAGGCAATTCATTTTTAAGATATCTTGAAAACAGCGAGATCTGATAGGAAATACCATGTCAGGATTCTTTTATGTAGCTAATTTCTCTTTATTGCTTGACCCTCAACAAAGTAGGAATTGTAATAAAACACTGTTTTTATTTCACCTTTTCGCCCTGCTTGTGGGTACTGGATGTCCAGAGCATAAGCATGGGCTCATCCAAAGGTCAGATCATGGGCTAGAGTCTCTGTTAGGATGACTCCACTGAAATCAGTGGGGTTATGCAAGCAGAAATGTTGGCCTCCAAAATGATACACTTTGACTAGCGGCTGATTTGTAGAGAAAATATTTCTGTAGTAAGATAAGAGGGCTTTTTATTTAAACACTTATCTTTACAGTTGTTGTTCCACTTAGTGTTAATTAACACTGTTGTTATTTAATGACTGTATATACAGCAGGGACCAAGAGAACAAAACATACAGGGCCAATTAGTGGGAGCATGTACGTGTCCATGGGCAGGATTGTGTCCACAACCAAATGCTGACCGTGCTATGGTAGAAATAAAATAAAAATCTGTTTTTTTAAAACAACAGGCAAAGTATTTCCTCAGAGTTTTTAAAAATATTCAATTGCAAACAATCAGGACCAAATCCTGACTCCTCTGAAGTCAAGGGGAGTTTTGCCATTGACTTCAAGTGGGAACAGGATTTTACTGTCACTGAAGGACAAATATTTTTTAGAGTATGGGTTCTCTATCTGGACATTGTGAACAGGTTTCGAGGTCTCATTTGCCAAAACCTTTTTTCTGTTGTAACATTTGGGTGGAGCAAGCTGAGACCTGATTTTCTAGAGAGTGGCACATTGGTTGTTTGTGATTTGCACTAGGTCACAAAGAGTACATTTTACCCTGGTGTAGAGGAGCAGCCAGTGCCTCACTCAGGTCCTCATGATGGTGGTTTCCATCCTATCAATGTGCTTTTGAGGGGCCTCAGTACATCACAGATCAACTCGTAGACTATTGCAGACTGCCACAGAGAGAATCTGGCCAGTCTTTTCTGGACAGAGATGGTGTCCAGCTGACAACTCATATTTGAAGGGTAAACCCTGGGCAATCTTCATTTATCTTGACAAATGAATTTTAATTTTATGACTAGCTGACAGAGTTCTTCTCTGAGATAAGTAATTTATTTGCGTGGGTGAATAAAATACCTGTGGTTTTTATCATCATTCTTATCATAGGAAAGGGTAGGTAATGATGCTGTTCCTAGGCTGGTAGATTTTTTTTTTTAAACAATTTTGCAAAACTGTTAAATAGTATGATAACTTTTTAGCATACTGATATATGTACTGTAGTATATTTTATACACTTAAATTCCTAGTAACATGAGACTTTGCACATTGGGCTATTAAATTTTTGCGGGGCATATGAGTGAAACCTCTGGGAGTTTGTTTGAGAATTACAGTATCTGGTCTGTGGATTAGTGACTTTCTATCATGTTAATTTGTTTTATGCACAAATGGCAATCATACACTTTTACACTGAATGACTTCTGTTGTAGATTGATTTTCCTGTTTCCCTTAATCTAAATAATCCGAGTCCTTTCACTGCAACTTCTGAGTGTCTTGTGACTGTTAAAGAATATGTAGATGTACATCCCTGAGAGGTAGGGAAATGCTGTTATCCCCGGTTTACAGATGGGAAACTGAGGCACAGAGAGATTAAGTGATTTGTCCAAGGTCACACAGGAAGTAGATAACCGAATTGAACCTGGATATCCCACATTTTGTTTTGTTTTTATTTTTTTAAGCAATGTTGTTGTGTTTTAATGGGGGAAAAGAATCAGACAAATGTTCTGACCGGCACTAGTAGTAATGTTGCTGCCCAGAGAGCTGTAGAGGTGCTATCTTCATAAGAATAAGGGCTGAATCTGCTGTTTACAAAATTCCCGGAAGAGGGACAGCTGAGAGATACGCAGTATGGCAGCCCCATACCCGTTGTTGACCTGATAGGAGCAAACAACAAGCAGTATTGAACAGTTTACACGGTACATAACACAGCTATGGAGGGAATGAAAGTGGCTGATAAACAGAAAGAAGAAACATGAGATTGACTCTCACAAGTCCCAAAGTACCATTAGATCACCAGAAGATGTTCCCAATAAGTGGAATTACTGTTCCATCAGTCATTAGCAGTAAGTATCATTGAACTTTAATCTGTTTCCAATAAAGCAGATTTTTCAACTAACTGGGTCTCCTTTTTAGATTATATGTGACTATTGCTCAGTTGATTCCATATTCGGGACTTGCCCTTTGGATGGGAGGCACATTTGATAGGATAGGTTTAAAGAAACCAACCAACCAAACAAAAAGTTTATATCAATTAATTTAATTAGATTATATTAACTAGCACTAACTCTACGATTGGGACATTCCATCTTGATGTTGGTTGTTCTACCACACAGACGTTATCTACCAGCACCCTGGCATTTCAAACAACTCTTATTATTGCAAAATAAATGTTACAAAATTATTTCCAGTTCTGTTTTATATTTTTCTCACAGAGAAGAGCAAGAAGAGACCTCAGCTATTCGAGTTGGCTTTGTCACCTATAACAAAGTTCTCCATTTCTTTAACGTAAAGAGCAACCTAGCTCAGCCTCAGATGATGGTAGTATCGGATGTTGGAGAAGTCTTTGTTCCTTTGCTGGATGGTTTCCTTGTCAACTTTCAGGAATCACGATCTGTTGTGAACAAGTAAAGAACTAATTTTTCATTTTTGAATATGAATTGAATATTCTTCATTATTGCTTACAGCAAATAATGATCCTTCCAAAAAGTCAGCCAGAAATCTTGGAAGCAGAGAGATCACTACCTTGAAATAAACTGGATTATTTGTTTTTATCTGAAAGTCTTAGAGGCGAGCAAGCATTTAGAAAGCTTGTACCCTAGTTTTCCAGTTCTGAAACACAGAAAAGAGCTATCAGCTGGCCTTTTCAAAGCTGAGATAGAAGGCAAAATTTACCCCATGTGTGACAGAGAACACAATGTACTGGACATTGCTTACAGAATATTGGAAAAGGGATTGGAGCACTGTGTAGTATACTGCATGTATTTCACTCCACTGACATGTATGCTACAAGCTAACCATGATCTTATGTTCCTGAAGTCCTCCTAGTACAGTTACTCCCCAAATTTAAGCTACTCTGCTTTTTTTTATTTCAGTATCATGTGTGACTTGACATTATTTTATAATTAAATTTAAAAGTGTAAATTTTGTAAAATTTAAAATCCAGACAGTTTTATAGTGGCTGGAAACCTACAAATTTGCATTACTAAAATTCTTTTGAATTTTATTTTAATGGAAAGCAAGTTATTGTGTAAAAAGGCTTGATGTGTTACAGATTTTTAGGTATTAACACAAGTATTCTAACCAGCTGAAACACTTGATCCTTTTTCCCTTTCATAGCTTGTTGGACCAGATTCCAGAGATGTTTGCAGACACTAATGAGAGTGAGACTGTCTTTGCTCCTGTTATCCAGGCTGGCATGGAAGCACTAAAGGTTAGAACGTTCCTGTGTGTGTGAGAACAAAGTCTTTACTAGGATAAGCTACAAAAATTCACTTTGCTAATGACTTTGCCAAGTTCTCCCACAAATTGCAGTGGGAAACCAAAAGAAACCACTGATAGTTTCCAGAACTTAGATTCCATTATTGACCGGGACGGGCGGGTGAATGATTGACAGACACCTGGGATGGGTTTCAGCAACAGGCCACAGCTTTATTAATTATACCTTGGGGAGGGGCACTACATTGCCCGCCCCTGGTTCTCATGTACCAGGCATTTAATTGGGCCCAGTAAGAATTACTGGGCTTTTACCACAAACCAGACAACTCAGGTAGACCCTCCCCAGTCTATCTCAGGAACTCAGCTCAGTTGTGAAACTCTTCCGTCCATCACATCCTCCACAGAAGGGTGGTGGAGTAACCCACAGGGCTGGGTGGGGGAACCTCTGTCCACAAAATCTTCAGACGACTCCTCCACTCTGAGCACTAGGTCCAATTGCGCATTCTCGAGGCTCATTTACCTCTGGGCGCTGGCCCTGTTAGCCTTTACCCGAACTGGACAACGGCTGAAGGTAGTGATGAGTCAATAGTCATAACAGTGTGATATGAACCTTGTATCCCACTATTTCTAACCCAGATGTACCTCCAGGTGGCTGCCAGAAAGGTGAACAAAAACAACCCACTGGACTACAAGCCAGTTTGGTCCAATGGAAAAAATTACTTCCTGACCCCCTAAAAACAAGGGGTCAGTGAGACCTCCCACAGCATCATAAGCAGCACAACTATAAGTAGAGGGAGAGAGGGAGGGCAGGGCAGCTAACTGGACAGTTTTGAACAAGAGGCTTTTGAAAAGCCAGGGTGGTTTTAAATAGGTGGTTGCAGGGAACATAGCAGCCAGTCAGCTGGCCTTGCCTCTTTTGCCCAGCCAGTGACTAAGCAGAGAACCAAAGTGGGGGTTGAGGGAGGCAGTAGCCCCTGCTTCCTTCCCTACCACACATGTGTGTTGGACTTCTTTCATTCCCTGCTGGCCAGTCTGAAGACCTCCCCCCACTAAAGGTGGTAAGGGGGTATTCTAGCAGCACCTTCGAGCCACTATACTGAAATTTGGGTCGGTGTTTCCATTTTAATATCTATTTTCCGATTTTTGCTCACTGAGAGGCAAATGCAGACCCTAGTGCCCAGTCTGCATAGACTGGACACTTGAGAGAAGAAGGGGATCAGGCTGTGAAGCAGCTATGGAGGTTACTTCAGCCTGGAATCTTAAGTAATGTACTCTGGGCACTTACCCAGCCCCCTTACCCTTATGTATACAGGGAGAATGAGAAGAGTCAATGCAGTGGTGGGACCCTCAGTCCTGCCCAGGCCCCAGCCCCAAGCGTACTCTTCTTTGTGTACAGAACTGCATTAGTTCCACTGAACAGGATGCCACGGCTTTGCAGGGGAGGGCTGGATTTTCCTCTTAATCAACAAGTTTTAGTAGCTTGAATACATCTGAAGGTGAAATACCCTGGACACAGTGCATCTCCAGTGTTTTCCCATGTGCCTGGTAAGTGCTAACACTGGCAATTAAAAGAATACCACCAGGCTGCACTGTAGCTTTTACAGGGACAGAAAGCAACAGCTAGTGGTTTAAAATACAATCACTTTGATTATCTGTGAACTGTCTACAAAGAAAGCACAAACCCACAAGATGATAATCTTCTTGCACTAAAAAAGTAGACTATTTCCTAGGCCTTTTTGAGCTATTAATTTAATAGCTCTTCTCATGAACTATTCTTCAGTATCACAATGTACGTGTGCAAAGATGATGTATTCATTTAATCTGTTCTTCTGTCAGGTCGTTTTTCTAATGGTATTTACTTTTAGTTTTAAAAAAGTAAAATTGCCATTCAGAACTATACAAGTTGTAATTCCCTCCGATGTTTGCAAAAAAAAAAAAGGGGGAATGACCCTGATATTAACCTGTAAAGAATAGCTACGAATAGTAACTGCTATTCATAAGGCTTTTAATGCAAAGAGCACACATTCTATGTGCATATTAACAAGAGAACCATTCCAGTCTAAAAGGGAAAAAATAGGTTAAATTCATACTGGTGGAGATATATTTTGGCCCAGTACATATACATAATTAAAACTGTCTAGCATATTTTCAATTCAGAGCAGTTTTAACCAAGAGCAATGCTAAAGTAAAAGGACTTTCTGATTTTTAATGTGATAAATAAGATGCTGCTATTAAGCTTCAATAAAAGATGTTTGTTCTAACATAAATTGAGGAAATTGACATACACATATTTTCTTTTTAAAAAAGCCATATGTCTGAGTGAAATCCCAGCCCCATTAAAGTCATTAGGAGTTTTGCCATTGACTTCAGTGGCGCCAGGTTTTCACCCCAAGAATTTAAAAGTTTACATTGAAACTATCCACTCAGAATGCAGTTCTCTCATGTCAGTGGGACTGTCAAGGTTCAATTTTGAATTTCCCAGCTTTTCTCAAGGTGCCAACACCTTAATTTACTGAAACCTTGGTTTGTTTTTGTAAAGTGCATACACTCTTGGCTGTGTGTAGTACAGTGTCACTGGAATTGCAAGTATAATTTAGGTGTGCAGTCACACACATTCGTGTGTCTTTTTTTTTTTTTAAATCAGGAACTTTAATATTTAAACAAATCACAAAAAGGGCCATTATAATTTTGGTTTCCACTCCAGTGGGCAATCTCAGTAGAAAGATGAAGGATTAAATAAATGTGGATTTATCACTTCTGGATAGAAATGTCAATTAAAGTAGAACAGGGTTGGGATACTTGTACTGTTGCTGCATCTGCTGTTCTGGGAATTGAGCACATGAGTCGGCAGGGTGGCAATCTGGAGCTGTTGACAAATACCAAATTTTGTTAAAATTTTAAGTGTAAAAAAAACTTGGAATATAATTGCATTTACCGCATCCCTTAATTACAGGAAGAAACTTTTTTTTACATGTGTAGATACTGGTAGTTTTGACTTTTCCATCTAGAAGTGTAATTTTTGATGCCAGGCATTTCCCTCAAGAATTCATTCATTCATTCTTAAATTGAAAAAAAAAAAACCTGAATAGTGGCTCATGTGCATTGAATTAAATATTTTTAGGACTTTTACAAAAAAAATCTTTTAAAAATATTACGCATTTATATATAAAAAATTAGAAAAATGCCAAATGGAATAGGCATCTCTCACGAAGGAAAGAAATAAACAAATATACTGTAAGTACAGGCACAAGAAAATTATAAACCTAGTAATGAACTCACTTGATAACAGGTCAGTCTGGACCTGGCTGGAAACTTCTTGTGTACATTTATTCTGCAAGTCATCCGATTAGCCAAGTAGACTGTTTTTCTTTGTGTTCCTATATCTGTAACATCCCACACTTTTGCCAGTCATTCTGTTCACTTCAGTGCAGAACATTCCTATTAGAATCTAACAACTGCTGTCCTGCCAGCTGTTAGCAATTATTAAAATGATCACACTGACTGTCTTCATAAGTAGGTGAAATGGAAGCTTAGGTAAAATTTTGGCAGAAGACTGGTGGTGGTGGTGGTGGTGGTGAGTTAGTTGAAGAATATAGAGAACTCCTAAATTCCTGAATACCGTATGAGGTCATTTTCTTAAAATTTACCACCTATGCTAGATGCTGGACTTAGCAAAAGAGGGCCAGATCCTCAGCTGGTGTAAACCAGTGTAGCTCCACTGAAGTCAGCATAGCTTTGCTAACTTTCACCAGCCAAGGATCTGGCCCAATGTCTTCTGTGTACACAGACAGCCCATATTGACTTCCCTACAACCTATGTGCATCTGGCCTGAGTTGGAAGGACCACCTGAGAAGGTTTTTTCAATTTCAGCATCCATTCAGTCTTTGGATTCCCTGCTGAGACTTCCATCAGGGTGGTAGCTTTGTGTGATGTGGACACTTGTTCAATAGATACTGGGCTAAGAATACAAACTTACTTCATGCAGGTGGCCAAACAGTTGCCAGCACCAAGCCACATGATATTTGCAACCTCGAGCAGAAAGGCTGTGGGTCCCTTTACCAATCTCTTCAGCCATCCTCTAACCCCATAATTTTTCTTTTTGGGCTTGTCCCATATTCTATGGGGTCTGATCCAAAGCCCACTGAAGTCAGTGAAAAGACTTCCTCAATTAGATTTGGTTCAGGGCCATAAAGATATCATGCCTGGACAGCACAAGGTTTTTTTCTGGCTAGCAAGATATATAAACGTACAGGATGAATACAAAGAATCTTAAAAAATCTGGAACACCATAGCAATCCTTCTTTTAGCCTAACTGTTAATCTTTGCTCAAATATTAAGGGATCCCATGAGCAAAGTTAGGCTATTGTCTTCAGACCCTTTAAAGATTCCTTGACTTCAGCCTGGGTGTTCATATACCCCTAGTGATCCAAGAAGAAAAAAACTCTCTCATTCCCCGCAACATATGATTTAAATTGGAAATTGTTTTTTTTTTAAAAAAGAACTTCTCCAGATATAGATATATAACTTTTATTGACATTATTCAAGTGGAGAAAAAAGAATTGAGCGGGGGCCAGATTCTTCTGTCCTTGTTCACACACCACTCTGATTGACTGCAGTGGGACTCACTCATGCATAAGAACTACAGAATTGCACTGTCTGTTTATTCTTTATTGCATCTTGTTGTTTAACATTTATATTGCAGTAGTACCTTCTATTTAACTCATGGGTGTTAAAAAAAAAATTAAATTGACAGCAGTCTGGGATACGTATTGTTAACTTTGTCCATCGAGACTAGATTCCTATGTGGAAATCACTGAAACACCACATATGACCAGACATATCTATGTTAGATTAAGCTATTTATGGATATTAAATTCCCAGTGATTTTCTTTTGGGATTTTGGTGCCATGAAGAGTTCAGTCTCTAAACAAATGGACAATTTAGCTTACGAGGATTTAGGGAAAATTTACAATTTTGTTTACACAATTGCATGAAAATCAGGTTAATCTGTTTATACCACCAGCAGAATAAAAGGTTGTTACTGTGTATTTGTAACAGGCAGCAGAATGCGCTGGAAAGTTGTTTATCTTCCATTCTTCATTGCCGACTGCTGAAGCACCAGGGAAGCTAAAAAACAGAGATGACAAAAAACTGATCAATACGGATAAAGAGAAGGTATTTCCTATTTAGAGCTTACAATGATTTGAGAAGAAAATTGCAATGATTTTTGTTGTTAGGTTTCTTCAAAGAATGGGGTAAATTTCGATAACTGCATATTAATTACTTTTATAAAGTTTATTATGTTCCCATCATCCTGGTGCATGAGTACTATTTATCTAATTAACACACATTAATGTCAATCCTAAATCAACAACAAAGTAATACTGCCCTAAATCATAGAATCACAGAATATCAGGGTTGGAAGGGACCTCAGGAGGTCATCTAGTCCAACCCCCTGCTCAAAGCAGGACCAATCCCCAACTAAATTATCCCAGCCAGGGCTTTGTCAAGCCTGACCTTAAAAACCTCCAAGGAAGGAGATTCCACCACCTCCCTAGGTAACCCATTCCAGTGCTTCAACACTCTCCCAGTGAAAAAGTTTTTCCTAATATACGACCTAAACCTCCCCCACTGCAACTTGAGACCATTACTCCTTGTTCTGTCATCTGCTACCCCTGAGAACAGCCAAGCTCCATCCTCTTTGGAATCCCCTTTCAGGTAGTTGAAAGCAGCTATCAAATCCCCTCTACACCATAAATGAAGCCTGCACAAGGAAAAAAAAAAGAAGCCATTCCCTTAACAAGAAATTTTGCTTACTGTTAACTCAGAGCTTTTTTTCCTCCAAAAACTTATGTTGAATCTCAGCATTTTGATGCAGTTTCCTAGAGCAAAGATGACCAGATAGTGGCTGGCATAGGTTTTAGGATCCCTGGCCTAGTTCTCTACCTTAAAAGTTGAACTTCAGTGCTATCTGTACCTGCCCTGGGCTCCTGCGTGACACCTCCTTTCTAAATGGCTGCGTGCGCACTGGGGTCTGAGGCATCACAAGTCCTAGCTTCCACAATTTGGTAGGCTCTGGGATTCAAAGGGTTCCATGCTCCATTGTGAGCCAGGCTTCCCAGCAACACAAAAGGAATGTGCTCAGTATTAGGCCCCAAGTTCATTTTTTCATTTATGAGACAGGCAAGGAAGGGGCATCGTTTCAGTCGTCTTGGCCCAAAAAAGGGCATCAAGAAGCAGAGGAATGAAGACACCTTGCCTGAGACACCTTGCCTGCTTCTTGTACCCTCCTATAACCAGACCACAGTCATGCTCCCCTTTCACAGTGATATATGCATCTACATCCAACTGTGTATCCTTTCCATTCCCAACCCATCCAACTCTCTCACACTTCCACACTTTCCAACAAACCCTGGTCTCTACACGAGTTTTTGTTGTAGCACTAGATACTGTTGCAAAACTGCCCCTGTGCTGGTTAGTATGGATCATCCCTCTCCATTTGTGAGCAGGACCTACATTTAGCTAAAAATCGACAGCCGAATTCTGCTCTGCTACATGCATGCAGCTGCCACTGACTTCAGTGGGAGTTGGGTGTCTGAGGGCTAAATTGGGCTCTCAAGAAGTTAGTTTAATTGCATTAGCTGTGTCATTTTTAATTTTTCGAGTAGATGGTTGAATTTTGACATATTCTCAACAATATCTTAGGTGATGTCCAAAGAGAAATTACCATGACTACTTTTTTTTTAATTCTCTGCAGATACTTTTCCAGCCACAGGTGAATTTTTATGAGTCCCTGGCCAGAGATTGTGTGGCTAATGGCTGCTGTGTGAATCTGTTCCTCTTCCCAAACCAGTATGTGGATGTAGCCTCCATGGGTCTTGTCACAATGTACACTGGAGGAACTCTTTACAAATACAACAATTTTCAGGTAAGTGCTAACAAATTCCCTATCTGTCAGATTAGTTGCTAGGAATTTACTGTTTTCTTTCCATTATAAAGGAATATCTAGTCTAGTCTAGCATAAAAAATGAGTGAACCTGAGGAGAGCTTGTGTGTGTCCACTAGTGGGCAGAATGCAAAACTTGGAAATGACAAGTCAAGCTCAAGTTAAAGACTTTCAAAAACATGTTCAGTCTCTGAAATGAGCTGGTTAGTATCTTAAAATGAACCGTGCTTACTTAAATACATTAAGACATTTGAATGCATTGACTTCTGAGAAGGTACAGCAATCATTGTTGAACATCACAAATGGAAATACTTATGTCCAAAAGGAAATGGACATTCTTTGGAGAAAAATGAGAATCTGATCATTTACTCAAAAAGTTGTGGGTGTTTCCCAGCCATGACAAGACCAACATGCTCAGGATTCATATCTTTCCAGTAAAGCAGTTTATAGGGTGAAATTCATCCCAGTGTAGAGGGGACCCATATTTGAGAATTTCTGTAGGCAAAAGGGGATTTTCTCTTTGCTCAAAACTGATCTGCACGTGCATTTTCTTCCTGACCAAGCGGGAAACACACACAATGCACACAGTCCTGGCTGGGGCCTTAAAATCCATCCTCCAGGCACCCATCTGCCAGGAAGGTAATGTCAGTGCAGCAGCTCAGTAGTTGTCAATGGAACGCACCCTGACTCACAGGGTGATCCCTTTTGGGAGTAGAGGAATTCTAAACGTCCAGGATTGTAGGAATGTTTACTGTTGAATTGGATTATTCTTGCACATCCTCATATCTGTTCAAAGGGACATGCAGAATACTGCAGATGGCTCATGTTTAAAGACTACAAGTAAAGAGGAGGATGTTTTACATACACATCCATTTAAAAACATAAATTGTTTTAAAGACTGTGGCATTTTTTGCTGTTTGCTGCCATCCAGTGGTGGATGTCAGCTTTGGTTTTGATTTGTGTTTTTAGGTACATTCTGATGGTCCCCAATTCCTGAGTGACCTCAGGAAGGACATAGAAAAAAGAACAGGATTTGATGCAATCATGAGGGTTCGCACAAGTACAGGTAACAGTACCCTTTTGGAATGAGAATTAACTTGAGTGCACGTTTCGGTTTTATGCCACCATATTCATAGTTTCCTGGAGAAGAGAATTGTTGAGTGCTAACAAATCATATTATTTTAAATAATAGCATGTTGGAAATTTTGTACATGTCGTTTCTACGATGCCTCGTATTATTTTACACCTTCAGGGCACTTTGCTAGAAATAGAGGTTGAGGGTCTACTTGCAAAAAATGTACATGCCTTTACATTTGAATATGCAGAGTTCTGCTTGAGCATGAAATTAATCTGCACATACAAATACAGATTCTGCTCACATTACACACACCTCAGGAGCTTGGTTTTTATGTAAACCACTTCTATCAGCTGTTGTGCACCCACTTGTTCCCAGGTTTTGTAAAATCCTATGTTGTAGTGAAAACCTGTTTTTCCAAACAACTATTCTTCCTACAAATGGAGGTATTCCAGGACCAGCTTTAAATAGAGCAGGTGTCCAGAGGGGCACAAACTCTTCTGTGGATGTTGCAGCCCAGCACCAACTCTGCAACAGTCCTTCCTTTACTCTGGCTCAGCTGCCAGATGGGGAGGGAGTCTTCTGTTACCATGCCTCTTTTTGGCAGTGAACCCAGACATGGCGGCCTACCAGAGTACCTGGGGCCGCTCAGATATTGAGGTCACTCTGTAGTTCCACTCTCATCCTGCACAGCATATTGAACATCAATGAATAATGGGTCACAAAGCCACATTGCTTTAAAAAAAATTACAAATACAAAAATAATTTTCTTTGATTTGTTATCTGACTCCAGGTTTCAGGGCCACTGACTTCTTTGGTGCCATTTACATGAACAACACCACAGATGTAGAGATGGCAACAGTAGACTGCGACAAAGCGATAACAGTGGAGTTCAAGCATGATGACAAACTGAATGAAGACAGTGGAGCCTTAATTCAGGTGACAAACGTTATATCTGTGTCATTCCGTTAGATAATGTGCCAGATTTATTTTTCAGTAAGAATAAAATACCTCCCACTCATGGGGTGGATGTAGAGTATTGAATTGAGTCAGGCATAATTTAGACAAACTCAGAGCAGTCTTGCCAGTGCCGTTCTGCCAGTTAAGATTCAGAAGCATGTTTTAACGGACAACAAAGTAGCAGTGATGCTATTCCTATACACCTTAAGTAGAGAAGGTCGAATCTGGCCATAAGTGATTGGCTTAAGGTCATTCAAGTAGTCTATGGCAAACCCACATCTGAATCCTAGACCTCTGCTGTCGCCACCATCTGCATGTAAGTATGACTCCCATTAGGAAACTACGGTCTTTCAGTCAGAATCACAGCCACCTGGCATGTTGTTGCAGGACACCATAATTGGTTGGCCCATAAAGCTCAAAGTTCTTGCAGCCATCTGTCAAGTCATTTCCTCACATGAGGCCAGGGAATTAAGTTCCCCATAAACTTCTGCCAGTGCACCATCCATGGACTCTTAGCAAATACTTCCCAACATGTCAGCTTGCCTAGTAGTTGTGGTGGGCACGAATGAGGACTCAGTTGAAACTTCTAAAATACATTTCATGTTTGACTCCAAAGGTGAATCTCAGAGTATGAACCCATTGCTGTGCCAACACCCTGCTCACTTCTACATTTGTTTCTCATTTTAATATTAAGAGGTAAACGTTTCCATAGGTTCAGATTTCTTGGTTTAAAAGCTTGGTTTTTAATTATAAAAATAATTATGAACATTATTTTAAAATTGTTTTTTAATTATAAAATAATTTCAGGATTTTTTAAAATATTTCTCATCCTTAAAGAAATCCTTACAGAAATAAACTACACCTGGACTAGGAGAGTATCGTCTCCCAAACTTGATTTAAAATAAATTATGTGGAAACATTATTATAAATCAGCAACTATTTGTAAACACATACAAACATTGAGTCAACTTCACTCAAGAAATGGAGTTTCTTTGTTATTTCTCCATTGGCAAGGGTAGCGCTTGGTCCTACTTTTTCCCTAGAGAAGAAGCTCAGAGCGCCTCTCCAGTGCCTGGGATCCCCCGGTAGCCACAAGCATTGGGTGTCCACATGGAAACCTTCTGCCCAAGCGTCCAACTTCCTGCATATCAACTCCCTATGTAGGAACCATGTTTACCAGGGACTCTGCCCACCAGGAAATTGCATATAATGCCCCCTCTCCTGCTAGAGTGGTTATACACCACAGAGATGGAAGTTGTACAAGATTGTACTGCAAGTTGGGTTGGGGGTTTTTTGTCATGTCTGTGTGTGTAATCTACGCCTCCTGTTCAATCCCATCACTTTGCAAGACCGTGCCTGACCTAGTCTCAGAGGAGCCCTGTGGAGCCTCCCATGACAGAAGGCCCGTCAGATTGGGGGTGATTGGGAAGCATGTTCTGGAGATGTAGGACTTCCTCCCTGCCTGGAACCGCAGGCATTCATGGAAGTGGAAGGGGAGGATGGGGATCCTTGTCAGGAGCGAATGGATGCACATCTAACGCATATGAAATTGAATAGTTGGGAGCGCTCTGCTAGCCAAGGCTGATGCCATCGCTGCTTATGCTTTAGCAGTAAAGTTAATATCTGTTCCCAATACTCTGTCAATGGGGGTATTCTTGGAAGTTTAGATTTAAAAGCTGATTAGGGTTCAGAATTTTCTGCCTTTAAACTTATTGGCGATGCTTGTGATACATCCATCTAAGGAATGTAACTATCCCTCAGTGTTATCAATGAGAAATTGTCACCAATTATTATAGCTGCTTATTCGTGACTTCTCTTTTTAACCCCCCAGAAAATGTGACCGCTTATGATCTTCAAAGCTAAACCACAAAATTACCTAAACTGTTATTTTTGCGTTTTTCCTTTTGTCATGCTCCTAGAAACATAATGTATGACTCAGTAGTTAATCCTTGGGTAAATACAGTTCTATAAAACATAACAGGCCTTGTGTGAAGTAATTTCCTAGGGCCACGGTACAGTATTGACACTGGATGTACATTCCTTGTAGACTTTAATTTTACATCTCCATTTCAAATGGGAGCTGTTCATAAAGGGTCTGATCCAAGCACACTGAAGTCAATGCAGTCTTTCCATTTACTTTTGTGGGCTTTGGATTAGGCCCATAAAGAACAAAACAGTGAGTTTCATTCATATTGGTGCATTGTGAAAAGCATTACAAGGTACAATATCCTGATTAATACAATGCAGGAAATGTGTTTGCCAAAAAAAGAAATCCTGTTCTCAGTTCCTTTCTTATTCCATACCAGTTCCCCTAAATACTAGCACCATATTTAAACAAAATAGAATCAGATTCCAGTGCAGTAAATCAGAATGATAAAAAGCACTCAAGTGTTAGAGAACAGCTTAACTTTTTGAGATTGTCTTATTAATCTTTTCCTCATATTCTTTTCCTTCCTCCCCTTTTTTTATCATGTGGTGACAGCAATAATGTGATGTGTCGAATAGTTGTCAGATAGCTTCTGCCTATTTTGTGGCATGTATTCATTTACAGTTACTTGCTGAAATGTTTTCTTTAATAAAGTTTTTCAAAAATTAAACAGTTAAAACCTTGTGACTTTCTAAAACAAAGTTGCTGCCAGTTCTTGCTGTTTTCCAATGATGTCATCTGTCTGTGGCGCCATGAGAGCAGCAAGCTTTTTCATCACTCCTGTTGTTGTTGTGTAAATTTTAAGATTAGTTGCTTCTCTGATGGGTTTACACATCAGTGTATTTACATTATGAATGTTGAGGAAATTGTTCCTAAAGCTCATTAACATCTGATGAATGTTGCTAGTCCCGCCTCGCATAAAGCATCTATTATTGCTGTCTTATGTTGAAAGTGCCGAAGACCAGTCGATGGTGGGTTTTTTTGTTTTATACTAAAATAAAGTTAACTGTCGTGAAAACTAGAACTTTTCTTATCATTGCAGTGTGCTGTACTTTACACTTCGATAAGTGGGCAAAGACGACTCCGCGTACACAATATTGGCTTAAATTGTAGTTCCCAGTTAACAGATCTCTACAAGAGTTGTGAAACTGATGCACTTATAAACTTCTTTGCTAAATCAGGTACATTTATGAACTGCCACTTATTTTTGTTTTAGAAAAAAATATATACATATGGAGCGTGATTCTCCTTTAATTTAGACTAGTGCAAATCTGGAGTTACACCAGCGTGCAACAGAGAAGAGGTTCAGGACCATATATTTTCTAAGCAGCAGACACAGCTTTTTGTATCTTGAATATACTTAGACAAAGTTCTTAAATATTGCTGAGTTATTTGTAAGTCAGGCAGCTGAAACAGATAGTGACTTAAAATAGCTGCAGAAATAATTTTACTTACTTTCTTTAATATTATATGCAGGTTAAATATGGGCCTCTGAAACAAAGTTTTTTATGTCTAATTAACTTTAGGATGATCTTTTCTTTATTCTGTAATGGTAGCTTTCAAAGCCATTCTAAGCCAGCCCTTGAAGACAATCAGAGAGATCCTGGTGAGTCAGACTGCTCGTATGTTGGCATGTTACAGAAAGAATTGTGCCAGCCCATCTGCAGTAAGCCAGGTAAGATGCAGTCCAAGGAAAATGCTCTATATCGGAGCTTGAACCTGAGATAAATAACTTTGCAACATTGCAAAAGCAGTGATGCCACAAATTAAAATTTCAGAGTAAGGTTTAACTTCCTTTCATTCTCCATAGAGAGTTTTTTCTCTTTATCCCTCCCCCCCTTTTTTTTTTTAAAAGAAAAGCAGTGATTGGTTACATTTGAAGTGATGGGTTTTAAATAAGAGTTCTGAAAGTGCATGGTATTTCTCATTATCAGATATTTGACTTATTACAACAATCTGTAACCCACTAACCCCTCTTTTTGTCCTATGACTACAAGGGTGTTATCAGGCCACTTCACCTTGAACGGTCCCTTAGAATATGTGCAAACTGCTTATGCTAAACTAACTGTTTGACCTTGTATTTAGCTGTGACACACGAAGTACCTTTCCCAGACCTGAAGAACAGCTCTGTGTAGCTCAAAAACCTGTATTTAACAAATGGTGTAATGCTAACCATAGAGCAATATGTAGGTGAGAAGGGAAGTTTGAATTCCCTAGCTTGGAAGTTCTTTAATGTTGCCAGCCAAGGAGCAGCTAGTCTAAAAAGGGTTTTCCCCGGCTTTCCCCAAACCTTATACTGATAAAACACTGATGATACATTGCTTGTTTGTAGTTGCCAGCAGGGTTTTAGTACCAGTGCAGTAATAAGTCACACTCTGGAGTTGAATCCAGGTTGAATGAAAAGCTACTTTAACTTGTAAAGAGAAGGGTCATACTTTTCACAATACTGTGTGGCGATCTTCTCTGAAGGTAAAGTAGAATCATAGGACTGGAAGGGGCCTCGAGAGGTCTAGTCCAGTCCCCTGCACTCATGGCAGGACTAAGTATTATCTAGACCATCCCTGACAGGTGTTTATCTAACTTGCTCTTAAAAATCTGCAATGATGCTGATTCCACAATCTCCCTAGGCAATTTATTCCAGTGCTTAACCACCCTAACAGGAAATTTTTCCTGATGTCCCACCTAAACCTCCCATGCTGAAATTTAAGCCCCTGGCTTCTTGTCCTATCCTCAGAGGTTAAGAAGAACAATTCTTCTCCCTCCTCCTCTTAACAACCTTTTATGTACTTGAAAACTGTTATGTCCCCTCTCAGTCCTCTCTTTTCCATACTAAACAAACCCATTTTTTTCAATCTTCCCTCAGAGGTCATGTTTTCTAGACCTTTAATCATTTTTGTTGCTCTTCTCTGGAATTTCTCCAGTTTGTCCACATCTTTCCTGAAATGTGGTGCCCAGAACTGGACACAATACTCCAGTTGAGGCCTAATCAGTAGTGATTAGACAGGACATGTGTGGCAGTTTGTCTGCTTTAAATGCTTTTTCTGTATATAGTAGATTCAGGATATCTATGCCTCTACAGCGTGGTCCAGTGGAGAAGGCTCAGAACTGGGGATTTGAGACCTAGGCTCTGTTCCTGGTTTCCCCATTGGCCTGCTGGGTGACCTTAGGCAAGTCACTTAATAGTTCTGTGCCTCAGTTTTCCCATCTAAAACTGGGTGTTATATTTCATTGCAGAGTTACATAATTAACGTATCTTTGTTTTCTTCCTTGAGGTGGAACCTATCAATTTAACTGACTGCTGATTACACTCACTAATAAGATTATAACTGTTGCTTTATTTAAAGCATTTATTCAGGTTAAGTCACTCAGTGCCCATTTATACATTAAGAATGTTTGTAACCACACTGGCATTTTAAATGTTTTAAACTGATTTACAACAGGCTGATGTTTTATTCTGAGCATCACATTTTCATACAAGTACACCAAATACTGCATTCTGTGACCAAGTGTACATTAGAATAACATCCTGCTCTCGTTATCCACTCACCTTCTAACTTGTTTATGATTAATGTAATATTGTTCTACATCCTTCACTTAGAAAATTGGGTTGGGGTGGGGAGCTGAAGTAACTTCTCCTGCATTTTATTAGTGCTTAATTAACGATTCCAAATATATTTCATAATTGACATATCTTAAAAATAAATGGTAAGATAGTATATTTAGAAGCAGCTTATAAATCCAATAGTAGACTGAGTATATTAAATAACAAGAACTTTGTCTTTCAGCTTATCCTTCCTGATGCGATGAAGGTGCTACCGGTTTATATTAATTGTTTATTAAAAAGTTGTGTGCTAGTTGGCAGACCGGAAATTCCAACCGATGAAAGAGCTTATCATAGGCAGTTGGTCATGTCTATGGATGTTGCTGACACCCAGTTGTTTTTCTATCCACAGCTTCTGCCAATTGTAAGTATACATTAGCAGTGAATCTTTTCTAGTGGGGAAAGGCTATTTTTACAGGTTTTTCAGTAGAAGTGATAAGTGGCTCAGACATATAGAAGGTTCTTTATATATTGAGTGATTCCATGTTGTAGAGGTACTTTCTTGCTTTTGTGTAGTCTTCCGCTGATCAAGCAGATTGTCTGAAATTTCAATCAGATGAAAATGACTTGAGAAAGTTACTGACCAGAAGAAATAACTACATGACACTGAGGACAGTGAGACAGCAGTTTATAGCTGTCTGTATATGCACGGATACAGTCACTTTGACCCAAATGTTTAGATAGTTTGCTAAAGAGTAGATGCTCTTACTCTGCTCAATAGTGTGATAATAACCTCAATAGATAGTTTCCTTCATGCTGTTTGTTTCTTCTAAATGTCAGTATTAAAGGATGCTTACATTGTTGATTAACAGCTTTATTGGAATTTTAAAAAAATCCTGAATTAGGGGTAGTGAAAGATGACTATTGTTCCACTTATGCACAGGACAGGTAGTTCTGTCTTTCAGAAAGAATTATTATTAAGGGTAGCTCAGTAGCTTAATAGAAAATAACTACAGTAACAATTTATAAGAAGTTTTTTCTCTCTTTTCACTTTGTTCACTTTGTGAATCTGAAAGCACTTTGTATAATCAGTTTCACTGTGTCACCTCAATAGAAAGTCAGTCACTGTTCCCCTTTTGTGTCCTTCAAACAGCACGAGGAGAGAATCTCTTTTTAAAGATGCATTTCAAAACAATAAGAATAGGCAGGAGATTCAGGGGTAGGTAGTACAGCTTCTAAACTGAAATTGACTAGATTATGTTTATGTAAAGGGTAGCTCTACTCTGAAAAGTGGCTGTATTAAAAAAGGTAACTTCTTACCCAGCAGATTCACTCCCTGTGCGTATTCAAAGTAGTGCCTGCTTGCGTCAGTGATAACAGTAAGTTTTTACCACTGTCAGCCCTGCAGAGGCAGTACAGCTATGAGAGAGTGAGCTGGGTTCTTTCCTTGCTTTCAGATCATTCACAGGATTGTTAACTAAATTCCAGTCAGAACTGTGCAACCCAATTGTCTCTGTTTAGACAGTCAGTTACACTAAGGTGCATCAGTGTGGTACAGGTATAATTTAGCAAACCCTTTGGCCTGCAGAATCTCATGGGAGGTGATGTGTGAGCTAGAAAGAACACAGCCTGACTTCAAAAACTTACTAATTGAGATGTAATAAATGTGTTATGACCCTAAAATGCCATTTTTACATAGTTACTTTTTCAGAGTGTAACTCCCCATTAGCAATAGAACTTGACGCTTCTTTATATGACATTCAGCTACACTAAAGAAAAAAAGACTAACTGAATTCACTACTTTTTTCCCTTTGTCCTGCAGCACACTATAGATATAAAGAGTGATGCTTTCCCCACTGCTGTCCGTTGCTCAGAGGAACGTCTGTCTGAAGGAGGGGTATTCTTCTTGGCAAATGGGCTAAATATGTTCTTGTGGCTGGGAGTCAGCGCCCCACCAGAGCTTATTCAAGGGATCTTTAATGTGCCCTCCTTTGCACATATCGGCACAGAGGCTGTGAGTATATTGTGGGGGAGTGGGGACTGGGCTGCAGAAAATGTGATTTTTATATAAATGGGAAGCCATTCTGTTGGGAAATTTAATTTCCAAATAAATAAGTGGTCCAATAGTTACACCACTAAGGTCATAACTTTGGATTGAAAGAAGAGCGTAGGTAGTTTAAGAGTCTTTCTTTCTGTGCTGGTCACCCATTGAGGGCACAGAGACAATACTATGTGATTTAGGTGACCAGCAATCCAACAGGAATAGCACAAAGGACAGTTCACAAAGGGCTGAAAATGAGCAAATACTTCTGAATAATTAATACATTTGATGAAATGGTCTTAATTGATTTCTAACCAAATCAGTGATTAAGGCTCTAATTCAGCTGCTTTGGATTGCATTGTTTTATGGGCACCCAGTGGCCCTAAACTAGGCAGATCTATTCCCCAGAGGATCCCCTTACATAACGAAGCCTTGGATGATGTAGTCCAGCCAGAGTAGCTCCTACATTACTAACCCCGCCCCCCAGGGGTACTAACATGGGGGTGCGGCTGGGCAAAGGGCTCCCTTGTGCCCCACTGATCCCCGACAGCTGTAATAGCCCCTCGTGACTAGCCCTTGGCAGCCAATGCAGGTTAGAGCACCATTTAAGCTTCTTTAAACTGCTGGATGACTGTGACCAACTCAACACACCGTGATCAAAGGAGCACAGAAGACCACTTTCTTTCACTACCCTCTCAACTCAGCTGAGGATCTGCCCCCAAATTCATAATCATATTAGTAATGAGTAGTTAAGCCAGCTTAGCCTTTAAGTTGCCTTATGAGGACACTATAACACACAATGCTAGATTTGCAAGGGTCAACACAAATCTGCAACTTCAAGTACTAGTTCACAGTCCAACTGCTTTGCACAGTGTTACTGGAGAAAAGGTACCACAAATCAGCTTCAGAATTTTCCATAAAGCCCAATTATTTGTCTGTCTAGCATGGGGTCGTTTTTTCCCTTTTGAGGAGATTGTGATGGCAGGGCAGGAGCATGGATTTTAGCAAGTGGGCTACTGCCTGGGGAGTGACTGCCATTCCACCACACTGCTGCTGCATAAATTCAGATCTAGTTGGCCCTCTTCCAGGCATCCCCCCAAAACCTCTTTTGCAGAAATCACTTCAGAGCTGGTGCAGGTCCTTCCAGGAGCCACAGGGCAAAGTGGTCATTGCATCACTACGGCACCTGCTGTGCTTGTGCAGTTTTACTACTGGTGTTTAGTGGTAGAAAGCTCTGCTCCAAACCTCAACTTCTGCATGACTTTACCCTGAGAAAAAATGCTATATGTTTGTTCATGGTGATAATGGAGAGTACATTTCCCTTTCATTCTAATAGATGGTAATAGATCCATACAGTGGATGGAATTATTTTTGAAATTGCCTGCACCAAAAAACCCTAGCATACTGATTAAGCATAGTGAGGCAGAGTTAAGGTAACGGTGGAAAAACCTTAGCTCTGAACTTCTTCCCTCTTGTGACAACACTATGTTCAACTTTGAATGTCATTTTTCTTTTTCATGTAACTGCTATGGGTTGGGTATAAGGTAACCCTCCTGTTGGTTTTCCCATTGGAAAACTGATATTTCATTGAAGGCATACAGTTATTCATCTGTTTATATCTGGCCATTGGTACATCTTCCTGTTTGAAATGGGAACTGGTTACACCTTTCACAATCTGCCAGTATAATTTTGTGCGGTCTTGGACAGCCTCTTCTACACAGCCCTCAATGTTTAGTCACTAATGTTAGCATTGACTCTACTAGTGGTAGGTGTGTATAGCCATGTAACCATTTCATCACCTCTTACTTCTGTTATTAGACACTACTCCCTGAAGTGGACAACCTCTATTCTAAGAAGCTCAGATCAATAATGGATTACATCCAGAGCAACAGACCTTACTCCATGAAGGTAGGAGAGAAAATGAGAATGACTTTATTTTACTTCAAAAAACTAATTCCTCTTGTCCTAAAGAATATTTGTGCAATGCTGGCTTTGACTGGAAATTTGTAGCAAAGGGACCCCTGTTCAGAAACCCTTATTGCTGCATGGGGTTTTGACGTCAGCAGGTTCTGTATCAGTGGAAAGACCTACCCCTATTCAGCTTTTTTTTTTCTTGCTGGATGAGAAATTGTAGCTATGTCCCAAAGGGCTGGGTTAACTCTGCTTCCCCTGAAGTCCCTGGCAGTTTTACTATTGATTTAAATAGGAGCAAAGTAAGGCAAATGTAGTAAAAGCTTTAAGGCACATAGCACAGTTCACATGCAGTAATTAAATCAGGGTGGTGGTTTATCAGGGGCTTGCTTTTGAATTGAACACATGCTGATTATTTAGGGCAAGATTTTCAAAGACAGGTGCTTAAGCTGTTCCAAAATATTTACACATGCACCCAGAGTATCTGCAGTACTGTCATACCCAGACAGCTAGTCACCATGAGGGTTCTGCTTTGTTAGCATGGGTACGTCTACATGAGCTTCAGCATAGACACAGTACAGATGTAACCAACTGATCTAGCTAGCTCACAAAAGCAGGGAAGATGTAGCAGTATGGGCTCCCATATGTGCTTGTGCTGCTATGTCCTCACTGCTATTTTTAGCTAGCTAGATCAGTTTCCATGAGTTACCCACCCTGTGGAAGTGAAGTGAAGTAGTATACTTGGCAGTGCTCAGCTAATTTGCGTATAAAGCAAAGCAAACCCTTGCTGTATCCTGAATAATCAGTATTTCTCATTCCAGCTGCTAATAGTAAAGCAACGGGAACAAGCAGAAATGCTTTTCCGACAATACCTGGTGGAAGATAAAAGTCTTTACGGAGGAGCTTCTTATGTCGATTTCCTATGCTGTGTCCATAAAGAGATCTGTCAGTTGCTCAACTAAAGGAAGCTTGACATACCAATGCAAGGAATATCTGATGAAGTATGAGAGACCTTCCATTTGGTGACTAACTCCAAATGGTGCTTAACTAAGCTTTTCCTATGCTATTTTTGTACAGTTTCTAACTTCACATATTCGCGCTTATTTTCAGAGTATCTAGTTTACCTATTAATATGTAGGAAATTCAGCACTCAGGTATAAATCTTTTAGGAGGGGCTTTAAAGAGTGTCTGTTTCTAATTGACAGATGAAAGCATATTTCCTGATATAATTCACAGAACATTCCAATGTCCTCAGTTATCTACTCTGGGTTTTTTCATATAAAGTGTACTATAATTGAGGAAAAAACTAGTTTTACATTTTGATATTTAATCAGGTCTCTTAAACATGGAAAAATTTGCAAGTGAGGGCAAACAGTTAAATATCCAGTTTGCAATAACATTGTTCAAGTGGGCTTCCATGGGGACCTGTTCCTTTTCTGGTTGTCACCATATATTGTGTTGAGCAGTTGGGATCATCTATATGGTCCCTAATGAAGCACTCAGCAAAGTAATTCTTTCCCTGACAAATGCAAATATTTACTTCTACAGAGGCAAACTATTGAGGGCTAATTTTGGCTTACTTTCTACATGTACCACAATGAAGCATGTTGTTCAGGCAGCTGGTTCATCTCAAGAAAAGCACCCATCTCAATCTCACAAATCATGGTGCTATTAAAGAAAAGTGTCACACTCTGAACTACTTCTGTTTAACCAGTTGCAGAGCTATAAGCATGTTTACCATGGGAGTGCAATAGTAATGGGGAGCTAGGCTAACTTTGCACATGACATCCTTGCTGTTGAACAGGGAAGGCTTTAAAAATTACACAGGGTCATGCCTGAAGTCTTGTGGAGATGAACTGGCTCTGTATGTAAGTGAGGCAGGGTACAATGGTCTACATCCATGTGTGGATAATCAAGGATACAGAAGCAAGAAGTCTACCTACAGCTGGTCTCTTTGGCTTCTCATCATGCTCAGGAGATACAGAACTTGGCCCATAGAAACTACAGTGAAAGAAGGGAAGGGTAGCATAGTAAGTGTACCCACCAAATCCAGGGTAACTTTTGTTGTACTTATCTGTAGTCAATATAAAGCGAGTCATTTACTAGTGTGTCTTCAACACACTAGTGTTGGTCTATAAAAAAAGTTTCTAGGTCTGAAACCTTAACTGTTAAAGATTGTAATCTAACTATACTGAATTAGGTTATTTACCAACTGGAATATTCATAGCTTTTAACTTAGACAAATATTCAGACCAGAGTTGTGTTGCAAATTTTTCTTTTCTGAAACTCCAAGAACAGTTAGTACTTGTTTTAACCAAAGGTCACATAGGATGGAAGCAACATAATTTATTTACATATTAGTTGTGTATTTCTGTGACCATCTAACTCAAATATATTAAGACAGTTATTGCTTTAAAAAAAGCTAGATCACTGACTGATATATTAATATTGATATTAAAGGCAGCGTTTGGAAGATTAAAAGGCAGTTTGCTTTAAGAGTTCTGTTGATTAGATAGTTTCCTTATATCAAACTGTTTGCATTCACACAAGATGAGAACATGATGATAAATCTCACCTTCAGAGCTTGTCTTGCCAACGTATGAGAATTTTGGAACTCTTTCTTTCCAAACACAGTGAAAGGAAAGCAAATAGCCTTCAAAGTGTAGAGGAGAGACTTCAGAAGCCTGCAAAAAATTATGTGCCTTTTAAGAAATGTTTTAGCACATCAAGTGAATTAGAAGATCTTGTAAAGAGTTCAAAGCTCTCTTGATCAAATGGGGGTACTACAAAAGGACACTAAACTAAATTCAACTGGGAACTAGAGCTGATATTTCTTCACCAAGATAGATGGGAATTTGGAGGAGAAAGATTTGTTGCCATTCCAAGTCAGCATATATTATGAATTACACCAGCAACTTTTTTAAAAATGTAAACAAATGTTCATTAAATATCATTACTGTGCATGAATGTTCATTTGTTGTCATATGCTCAGTTGCAGATTTGGTACATCACCGTGTAAGAGGCTAGGTGTCTTCAGCATGTGAACTGAAAACACACTTAAGGGGCTCTGTTCAACTGGCAGTGTGCAAACTGTCTCGTACCAACTAATACAGCTATTGACAGTACAAGGGACTGGAGCTGTAGAAGTTTTTGTTTGCCAGTACCTGAACTGGACTTTAGGTGTGATGGGAGAGGGAACTAAACTGGGCTCACTGTCACTGGTTATTAGTTTCAAGTATGGAAGAGTTTTGTAAAGACATCTGGGAATTTGGTTGCGATGAGTCATCTCTGGTACCAGTTCTAGGGAAGCAGTGACTGAAAACTACTGTCAGCTGCTGGCAGCCTCCATTCATGGTGCTGTATAGCACTTTATACTGCACTGCAGAAATTGCAAAGGCACTCAAGCTGTGGTCTAATATTGCTCCCATTGAAGTTAGTAGAAACAGACTTAAGTGGGTATCAGGAAAACTAGGCAAATCACTAACATTTGGAACTATAAACTTATTTCACTTTAGGATTTTATTGCCTTCTCACATATTCTGGCAACAGTAGTTTCCGGACTTTGCAAATGCTTACACTAGGCAGAATTATTTATGGGGTAGCATTTTAACTTTATTTCTAGCAGCACCGAAGTATAGCAGATCCTGGTTGTCATGTAGGGATGAATTTGCCACTGTAAAGGATGTAGGGGGCAGTTTAGTGGCTATAGGATTGGAGAAGGAGTCAGAAGAGCTTGGTTCAATTCCTGGCTCAGCCACAGACTTCTTATGACCTGTCACTTACACTTCAGGTTTCTCCCATTTCAGCAGATGTGTCAAGAGACCCATAGATATTACAGTAACAAGAGCCATATACTTACATAGACAGATGATGCTGGTTCACTCCTCAGGTCCATGATTTCAGGCTGTCTGCAGACAGAGGAAGAAAAAACTGTCACAAGGACTAAGATGTTCATATAATATCATTAGGGATGGCCTGCCTCTGCTAAAAGGCCTTGAACAAGAGAGGCAGCTTTAAGATGAAAGAGCACTTTATAAATGGAGAAAGTTATTTATGGTCTCTACTAGTCTGAGGTAGTAAATCCAGATGCTGTACATATACGATATCAGTAATACATTTGGAAGAGATCAGTCACCCTGTATTAGAAGTAGTATCTTCAAATACCACCTGGCTTTTAAAAAGTTCATTTTACTGAAGTCAGTCATCATCACAGAATGGTGAACAAGGCCCTCAGCTCCGCCATGAATTCACCGTATACTATATTAACATAGGCAGTTGCAGACCAGTTGATGGTGGATTGCTGAGTCTCCTTGTTCTTAGCTGCTAAACTGCATGAAGGCAGCTAAAAATGCATTATTTTCCTAATAAAAAATTGCTGTGGGTAGCTCAGGCAGATTAGGGGAGCTGGGCTACACAGTTCTCTCTCTATTAAAGAGGACCCACAAGGATTTTTTGAAGTGTTAGTGTTGTAGACTTTTTAAAAAACTCCTTTGTGTAAAAGGCAGCCTGAAGGTATTTTATCTCAAGCAGGAGGGGGAGAACCCACACACTTACCTTGGACATATCAAGTCTAGTCTTTCCAGGCTTTGCTGCAGGACAGCTTCAGTATATTGAGAGATCTCACTTTAACTGAAGATGGTGGGATACTGAATGAGTCCTTTAGCCCAAGTCATCATTAGATGCTGTGTACAGAGAGAGAACATCTATTTAATTCAAAAACTGGAACTAACAAATGTAAACATTGATTACCCTCTTCCCATCTCATTTGCTTAGCTTTCATCCTCTTGTGATATCATTTCACTAGTTCTGTGGTCCCAAAAGAGTATTTCAGACTGAACAAGACCTGAGTTTAAAGACGACCAGCAAATTTGTTTAGTTTTTTATATAAAAAAAGAGTACAAGCCCAATTCCTATATTTTAGGATGGTTCACCATATGAAAACAAATTTGAGAATCCTTCTGTCCTATGTTAAGATTGAAACCCCCACATCTCCAAAGTGTTTATTTCTAGTAGTGTCTGTGACTAAGAATAGTGTCAAATTCTGTGTGTTCCGGTTTTAGCTATAAACTAGTCAACCAACTGAACTGAGACAGAGCAATGGCTAATGGGGCACGACCCTAGAATAAATCCACTACACGTACTGTTAAATGGGCTCAGATCTTCATATAGTATCATTAAGGATGATTGGTCTCTGCCAAAAGGCCTTGAGAGAGAGAGGCAGCTGTGAAATGTAACCTTCATTTATAAAGTGCTCTCGTTTATAGTCTCTGTAACTAGACTAAGGTAGTAAATCCTCATGCTGTGCATATACAATATAAGTATCACACATGTGGAACAGAACAGTAACATTGTTCTAATACTCGCTTTGCTATGTGACATTGGGAAAGTCGCTATACCTTTGCCTCAGCCCTTACTACCCCCTTTTTTTTTTTTTTGGTCTATGCAGATTGAATAAACTTTGACACAGGAGCTGTTTGCAGCATCTAGCATAATATGCTCCCAATCTTATTTTGACAATTTGGTGCCACTTAATGCACCAAAGTAATCTGTAAAGGTGAGGACAACTCAAAAGTAATATAGAAGTTTCAGAGTAGCAGCCGTGTTGGTCTGTATTCGCAAAAAGAAAAGGAGTACTTGTGGCATCTTAGAGGATTGGTCAGTCTCGAAGGTGCCACAAGTACTCCTTTTCTTTTTGTTAATATAGAAGTATAACTGAAGTTTCATTTCTATTCCACTAGGTGGTGTTACTGACTAATTTACTGTGCAAAGCTCGCAATATAAGCCAACGTTAAACTATTTATAAAAAAGAGAAACAGTTTCCTTAGCTGCCTTACAATTTCAAGAATCACTTTTCAAGTATAGGTTTTATTACTTTATATAGAATTGCTCTCCAGACAAGACATTTTGTTTGTTTTACCTTAATGAAAGCTACTAAAAGGCTGTACACAGGGCTATTTCATTCAAACACTTCTCTATTTATGAAACAAAAAGGCACATAACCTAGTCTATCCTAATTAACACATTGACAAGTTCCATGCAACTGCTTTTAGCACAATAACTACTCACTTAGACAAAGCTTCACATTTTCCCCAAGTCAAATCTTGATTTTTTTTTAAAAAAAAGTTAAATATTGGGAACTCATTTGCCCCAGGGATATTTCAGATGGCTAATACATAAATTGTTTAGGTTTTATATAGATTAATTCACAGAAGCTGGTGGCTTTGTCTGAAATGGCAGTTCAGTGAAACCTGGGTCTCTCTGTCTGGCCTGCCACCATCACCAGCACAACAGCAGCTACAAAGCTATAATTCAGTGCATGAAGGAGCCGCAATTATTGTCTAATAAAAGCAAATTCTAGAGAGCTTTTTACTTGACATTAGGGGCTATAATCTTGTTTGCACTTGTGCAACAATCGTTCGAAAAATAAAATATTTGCATAGGCAAATGTAGCCATAGCCTGCTTCTCTTATTGAAAGGCAGTGGGAGGTTTGCAAGTGAGTTCAAGAGAAGCAGGACGGGATCCACTTTTTTGCCCATGAGAGTATCATTTCTGTGCGGGAGTTCAAGAGCTGGGTTCTGGCTCCTTTGGAAAGTAAAGAGAGAACAGACAAATCTTCATCTTAAAATGACTTAAGATTTGACAGAGCAAAATAGAAAAGAAGAAGAAATACATTTTAAATAAGAAGAGTAATTGCTGCAGTGGTGCATGTCCACACACTGTCCTTGGATCAGTGGTGTGCATCCTCACTAGGAGCACTTACACTGACCTAATAGGGACAGTGTGGGGAGCCGAGAGCCCAGTGTCTCAGCTCCACTGGCAGCTACCTGCCAGGAGCCTGGCTCTCCACAGGCTCCCAGCCCGCTGCCCCTGCCAGGAGCCATGCAGCCTTGTCAGTTTCACAGCTTCAGGCCAGAGCCATGAAATTGACAAGACAGCCAAGGTTCCCAGCTGGGAGCAAGAGAGTGAGGGGGAGGGAAGCTGCCTGGGCTTCTCCTCACTGCTCCCAGCCAGGAGCAGGGTCCAGCTGCCTGGCTCTCCAGGGAAGAGGGGGCAGCTGGGCTCTAACTGCTAGGCTTTCTTGTCAGTCTCACAGCTCCTGCTGTGAAATTGGCAAGACAGCCAACAGCCCAAGTAGCACAGTGTCTACACAGACACTATCATCTTAAACTACACTGACATAAGACCTACACCTCTTTTGGAGGTCTAGTAGTAAGGCACTTACATCAGCAGGAGCAAGGCTGTACTGTAGACACTGACAATTAGGTCAATGTAAGCTGCCTTACGTCGACCTAACTGTGTAGTGTAGATCAGGCCTCAGTCACCTCTCAGCCCTTGTCTACAGACAGAAGTTGTACTGCTTTAACTGCACAAGTATAGGTAAAGTAGTACAATACCCCTGAGTGTGGACATAGTTGTATTGATTTAAAAGTGCTTATATCGGTATAGCTTATTTTTTTACAGGGTAAGGGGAATAAGGGGATATACCAATGTACCTTTTTACCAGTACAACCTCTATGGTGGATACATAACTATATCAGTAAAAAAAAGCCCCACACCCAACAGTTAATACTGGTACAAAAACTGTACAGATCAGGCCTAAGTTTAAAATAATTTACATAGCACTAAGACTACATACCCTTTTACAAATAGAGTAAGACATGTTCTGATCCCCAAATAAGTTTAGAATCTAAACAAAACAAGACTGGTTAACAGCTCGTAGAAGGAAAGGTGTGGGATTATTTATAAGTAGAAGAGGGAGGTGAGATTGCTTGAAGAGAAGCTGCGAAGGAGGAGAAAGAGTATGTTTGGTGGATGAGGACAGGAAGCAATGTTTCACAATATGTTTCAAAATAAGGCGGGGCTCTCATTGGACCAGTAATACACCTTTCATCACTATCTTGCACAGTAAGAGACAAGGATGTGATGCTGATACAGGACTTGATCTGGCAAGATATTCAAC